CCAGCCCCGTGCACAGACGATGCCCGGCAGCCCGAGAGGGCAGAGCCCAGAGAGGCGGCTCCAACCTGAGCTCCATGCGAGGTATCAAAGGACCCCAGGGCCGTGGTGCAGCCGTTCTTCCGATAATCGGCTTTCCCACAGACGGTGGAAGCGGGTGTTTCTGGGGGGGATGTGTGAGGGGCCCTGTCTTAGGTGTGGGGTTGTGTGTTTACCATCTCCCCTCGCCAAGGGATTGCTTTTTGCTCTTCCTTTTTGTTTTTGGTGTGAGTGGAGCTTGGATGTACTTCAATAGAAACAACAAAGCAGGCATGACCTTGCTCTTTGCTGGATGCGAGAGAATGAATAGTTTCCTAAAAATGCTGTCCTTTTTTCAGCTCTAAGGGCAGGGACGCTGGAGGGAGAGGGCTGGTCAGCAGGTGCATGGCCAAGACACCTGAGCCAGTGGGCAGCGGGCTGGGAAGCCCTGTCTTGGGTCACAGAAAGGGCAGGCTGACCTTGCCTACTTCTCCAAGGGCTGTTTTCACTTCTCGTCACATGCTCACAGCCAGGTGGCCGTCGCACTTGGGAACAAGGTGAGTGCCAGCGTCGGGCAACTATGGCGCACGAGAAGCGCCTTTCTCCCTCAAGATCAAAATGGCACCTACCTCATTGGCCCTGACAGTCATTCTTTCCGTAGTCCCCCAGATCTAGGGGCGGCAGTGTCATCAGATCAGCTGTGTGAGCCAGGCGCCAGGTCCCTCTGCTGCAGTGTCTCTGCGAACAGTGACGAGTCACAGACCTAAGGTAATGTGGATATGGCACAAACGTCAGCCCCGTGTTCTAGCTTTAACACACTCGCAGCTATTCCCTTTAAATAGAACAAAGAGCCACGCTTCATGGCAGGCCTCTCTCTACTGGGACATCAGCTGTGTCTTCCCTGACCTTGACCAGTGACCTTGATCTGTGTCCATCTGTTCAGAGTACATGAAGTGCCTTTCCAAGTCACTGAAATTGAGGCTCCGTGGGTAACCCAATCCCCACCCCAACCTGCAGCTTCCCTCTTTTCCCCCATGGTGACTAAACAACTTAGACGCCTGCTCTTTCCAGACCCATGGTGCAAATACACCCACACCTGTCAACACACCCAGCATGCCGGTACCTTCCTCGGCTGACTCAACACTGACCTCCTCAGCTCCACACCTCCACCTCCCGCTCAGAGCACCTCCATCAGCAGGTTCTATTGCAGACTCAGCCTTCATCTACTAGTGTTTTCCTCCTGCTGACGTCACTGTCTGCGCACTCCCAAAAGCCTCAGCAAGCTCAACCCAGGACTCTGAATTATAGGTAGAAGATCTTTGAGTTCCTTCTACAACTCTCCACAGTCACTGCTATCACCAGAGTTTGCACAGTATGATCCCTGAGAGCAATGTTTTTCTTTAGATTTGTTTTGAAGTTGTCCTCTAGTGATGGCATCATACAGCTACAAGCTCCCCCTCACCTTAAAGAAGAAGGTCTATAGACAGCCCCAGGTGTCCAGGGAATCCAGAGTTTCCAAGACAGACCAGGACCTTGAAGCCCTTCTTCCCAGTCTTCCCACCAGGGTCTGGCCTCCTACCTGCTTCTCAGCTCATCACACAATGCCTCCAACATGACAGGGCCCACTGGCCTCTCCTGCACCATTTGCAGTGTCCTCTGGCCTTCTCTTAAGGCAACTTCAGTAGTTCTTCCCATGCATCTGGGTGGGAAGCTTGTTTCCTAACAGGAAGTGGGAGAGGTTTAGATCTGAAAACAAAAGGTGTATGGAGCCATGGACTCCCTAGCCACACCCAAGTTAAACAAAGCATTTAAGAGTAGCTTACCCTGTGCTATTTAATTTAGAGAAATAAATATATAGTAATCCAAAACTAAAGCTATCATCTTTCCTTACCCCAGAGTGATATAAAGTAAGAGGCTAATAAAGAACCAGAGCGGAGCTGAGAGGTTACTGAGCCCTAAAGGCGTGTAACTCTATGAAGGCGCACAGAGCAGCTGACCCAGGGCTCACTACTACAGTGTTCCCAGAGGGCTTCAGGACAGTGTGGATTAGAACCCAGGTCTAATCACCCAGCGCCTGGCCCCCCGCCCACCTCCCAGTTCCCAGTGTGATAAGCGCATATATAACTCGTGAATTCATGTCTCCTCCTTCGAGCCCTATGACATAGTGTCTGCAGGCTCTGGCTGAAACTTTAAACACTTTCATCTCCTGCCTCTCCTCTCTGAACACTTTATGCCTCCTTCTCTAGAGTTTTGCAAAGCCAGAACACACACAGCCCAGGGAATGTTTGAGCACTCCTAAATCCAGACAAAATATAATAATCTATTAAATCATATCAAATAGGAATGTTCTATTTTGGGACTAGCAGGCAAAACTGTCCAGCAAGCTGTTAGACACATGAGTCTAGAACTCAGAGAGCTTGGGAATGGAAATTTAGAAAACACTTAGGGGTTATTAGCATAGATTAACACAGCTCCTAGGGAAAGAATCGGTGGACTGGAGTATAGCACCAACTCCCAGTCCTAAGGGCATTCATCCCAATGTTTAACACCAGTGACAGATAAGAGGGGGAGGAAAAGAAGGCGCCATGTTCAGAAAGCCCAGATAAGTTTTTGAGAGGAAAGCTTTGACGAGTCCAGCAGGATGCAGACAGGCAAGTGGTAGCAGACCAGCGGTGACCTTGGCCAAGGCTCCATCAGGTGATGGAGAGAAGGAGATTGGGACGCTCCCCCACGAATAGCTACAGATAACTTCCCAGAGTTCTGAGGAGAGATGGTGAGAGGGGCTGGAGGTGGGGTGTGGTCAAAGCTGATGGCCACTGACCGAGGAAGCAGCCGGGAGGGAGAAATCCACGTGATCGTCCCCTTCCTTGGCTAGTTCCTGGGTTCCTGGGATATCTTTGGGAATCAGCAGCCTGACGGTCAGCATCTGTTCTGTCCCCAGTGGTCCTGTTGTAATAGGCTGGTGCTTCCTTGGCTCTCAGTAAAAAAAATTTAAATATGAAAGCCACCTCCTGTTCACACATGCTTTTTTTTTCCCTGCAGCATTTTTTTCTGAGATAATGTGTGTTTACAACACTACATATGATTGAGGGAAATAAGTTCGTACCTCTTCAGATGTTCACACGCGGTTGTCAGACCTGGACTTAATGTCCTCCCCTGGGCTTGGGCAGTGCAGCTGCCTGCCAGTCTCCACCCACAGCCGGTGTGCCCACTGCTCTGTCCACTTGCGGGGGCCTCCCAGACCAGGCAGCTCCTCCTTGAGTTGGATTCCTGAGGAGCAGATAAAGGCTTGAAGACAGCAAGATCACAGGCAGGGGTGGCAGCAGCTGGCACAGCCTCCTTTCGTTCCTTCTCAGTGCCTGGGGGCAGGGGCTGGTAGGTCAGGGAGCAGATTATAGGCCGCCAGAGCCTGCAACTAGAGGACAGTGCCTGGGCACCATGGTCAGTGCTGGCCACATGCCAGGGGCTTGGGCAGGGGGCAGCAGCTTCTGGCTCATTCCCAGGATTGTAGGATCAAAAGTGTCAAGCAGAGCCTCCCTCAGTCATAATTGCTCCCCAGTATGCTTCAAGTAAACCTGCTCATCTGTGTGAAAGAGTTGCCCAAATAAGAGAACCACCAGTTTCTTCAGGTTGCTAACCAAGTGTAATAACGATGTCATGGAAACCAATATGTTTTCAACTAGGCCCACGCACTTCAAGAAGTTGGTAAATATAATTATCACCATTTTATAAAGTTGAAAATGCAGAGTGTCTGATCACAGCCATCCGCAGAAGAAGCGAGAGGTGACAGTTCTGGTTGCTGCCCTGGCCACATCCTCACTGGGACCCCTAGACTAGCCAGTCTGCTCCGGGCCTCACTGTCCTATAGACAACCCCGGGCACAAACTCGGGGTCCCGTCCTGTTCAGATGGACACCGGCCTGCACTGAATCAGAATTAGCCCCAGGGTAGCTGGTGTCTGCCCGACTCTCACCTGGTGGCTGGTTTCATCCATGCAAAGGGGGAGACCGGCGGGAGATACTCCCCCGGGGGGGAATCAGTATGCTTTTTCTTCAGCTTGAACCACCAAGGGAGTAAAACGACCTTCATCGACCGCACCTGCAGTGGAGAGCAAAATGACCTTCAGCAACTTCACCTGCAGCTGACCAACCTCGAGTGCCCCTCTCCAGTGAGTAAATGTCCTGCCTGCCCAGTGGGGGTGGGGGCTGGGGCACAAACAAGGCCCCTGAGAGCTTTATCACCGTGCCCCTTCATTCACTGCCACCGTTCTCACATCGCACCTCTCGTGGCTGGAACCCGCTCAGCTCCTCAGGGTGCAAATGGCCCTGAGGGAGGAAGAAAATATGTGGTTCCACTGCTGAGGGCGCTGAAGGGAGGCAGCCAGGCAGGCTGGCCAGTATCTTGAGGCAGCCATTACCCCTGAGGGGTTCACATGTCCTCTGTCTTAAGACATGTATAGCAGCACTCACAGCGAGGTGCTGGGAAGACAAAGAAACGGGACTGCAGGGGTCTGTTCTGGAGCCTTAACCCTCTGCCTCTCTTCACTCATTTCCAGGCCTTAACTGCCCTCTCAGGAGCACTGACAAAGTCCAAGTGTCACCTGGCCACTGTCTCCATCCATCCACTCTGTAATCACCGCCAGGCCCACTTGATCCCTGATGCCTGCTGGAGAGTCCAGGGGGAGAACCACCTTCCTCTATCCCCGGACACCTTCTGTGCACCTGGGACACGGACCAGCTTCCCAGTCCAGCCCCGCGACCGCCTTTGTCTATGCTTTGACTTCCGCCAGATCTTCCTCTTGGGGGCTCATGCCCACTTCTGCTCTGGAAAATGTCGCCGCCCACTGAGACCTGGGTGTGGCCCTCCCAGGCTGCTGCTCCTCTCTTCCCCCAGATGTGCACCTGCTGCATCTCCCTATTCTGCTGACACCACTCACGAGCCCTGACCTCTCTCAGTGCTGTGATCGTTTTGGAACATCTGGTGTGGACAGTGAGAGGAGACGGTCGGGGCCCTGTACCCTCAGCTCCACACAGCAGCCGCCTGGAGAAAGGAGCTGTGGAGGTGGACCCAATGCCCATCTGCTCGCCCTTCTGTGTTGGGTTCTATAGTCTATGCCAGAACCAGCCATCCTTCCAGGCGGACCTGCTCATGGGCACAGTGGTCCAGAGGAGATCCCGAAGAAATGGAGGTGAGGCTCCGCCAGTCCCCAGGGCTCCCTCCACTGGTTACCCTGTGGTTCCCAATTCTTCCCATTGTGCAGACAGGAAAAGAGGTGCTATTGAGAAACCCAAGGGGTGACAGCCGAAGACTCACCGCTCTGGACAGAGGGAGCATGGTGCAGTAAGGGGGCTGAGCCCCAGGGACAAGCTGTGAATGGTGCCAGCTCCAGGTGGGGGCTTGGCCCCCCAACCCAGTCCTCTGCCACAGACCCACCCTACAGCTGCACCTCCTGGCTCCTCGCCAGTGCCGTCTGTGGGATAATGGCGTTCCAGGTCTGGAGACTGCAGAGGCCCAGGCCTGAATAAAGGGGTTTCTAGACCTATGTGTGCTAATCTTGAACTCCCAGCCACACCCCTCATTGGCCCTCCACCTACCTCTCCCCCAGCAAGAGCATTTGCTTTGACACCTGGTGACCTGCCAAAGGGCCAGTCACGATTTCTTAGGGCCTGGGGTTTATGCTCCTGTAATTGGCAAATTTAAATAAAGGTTGAAGCTTCTCTACTCCTGGGTCAGCCTGTTTGCAGTGCTCACCTCTGTCTGTTGTGGGGCACAGGTGTGGGGGGTGGGCTCCCTCGTGTCCTGCCTCAGCCAGCGCTGCCGCTCTGCTGACCTGAGCTCAGGTCGGCCTCTGTCAGGCGCATGCCCCACACCCAAGGCCTATAACCCCTTCCTTAGCCCTATTGCAAAGGTGGGGACATCCTGTCGAGCAGGTGGTGGCTGGAACTCGGGAGCCATCCCAGGGACCACGCTCACCATTCATGCTCCTGCCTTGCCCCAGAATGGTGTAGAGCAGTGACATCTTCCAGGCTGTGCGTGTCATGCTTAGCTGACCCAAAGCCAGCAGCTCCATGCGTTGTGTAATTCAGTCCTCAGGCGTGGCTGGGAGTAAGAGGAATTCCTGGGAGAAGGTTCCTAAAAGAGCAATTTTGAAATGTCATTTAAAAGGGGAAGAGAGGAATGGGACATGAATACTTCACTTGTCCTCAGCCTGATTGTCTCGGGGTGCTAATTTTAGGAAAGAACTCTCTCTCCATCACCAGGCTCCTGAGCACAGCCAAGAGCATGCCTGCTAGGACAGGCTGCAGACACGTAGCCCCTCCAACAAGGACTGGGCACCTGCCCCCACCCCTCCCATATCCTGGACAAAACCCGGGCTGGGGGAGATAAAAACATTTTGAAAACCAATGTGGTTGCTAGTTCTATGTAGCTCATGTGAATTTCACCTCAACAACAACAAAAAAGCCAACCAAGAATCTATTATCTGCAACCTCAGGATTCCTCTGAACCCCAAAGCCTGAGGTGTCAGAGAAGGGAACCCCAGGTAAAACATTTGAACATGGGACACACAGTATAAACCCCACAGCAGCCTATTTCTGGGGTACTGCATCTGAATAACTGAAATCAGAGACCCCGTTTTGCCTCCCACACAGCACTGCTAGCAAACAAGAAACTGCAAAGTGTCCGCTGACACTGCATGTGTGGAAATAGTTGGCTCCCTGTGAGGAGCTGTGATGGGACCAGGCTATCGGGGTGGGGCAATCCAGAGACTGGTTTGGGGAGGTGAACAGTGATGTATGCAGGAGATCCCCTTCCTCCTTCTGTGAAGGTTCATCGCAGCCTCTCACTGCCGACACAGAACAGAGTGCCCCGAGGACATACGCCAGCCTCAGTGGTGTGATGGGCTTTGATTGCAGTTTCTGTAGAAAGGGAATAGCCAGCCCACGCCACCTCGTCCTATAGACTAAAAAAATTAGCACTTGTGGGCCTCCCTGGTGGCACAAGGAGTTAAAGTGCAGCGAGATGATGCTATACACAGCACTGCAGCCAGGGAGTGACCCACATGGCGCGGCAGACCTCTCCTGTCTCACCCGCTGCTCCCCTCAGCAGTGTGTTTCAGTAGATCTGCCTGTTCTGCTCCCAACTCTGTCTTCGGTGAATCATCTCACACCCTTCCCCACATCTCTGGCCTGTACCACAGTTCTTGAATGCATAAAAAATCTTAAAAAAAAAAAAAAAGGGGGGGTTCCCTCCCTACTGGCACTACTGGCACAGCACTAAGACTCTAAAACCACTTCCACATGTGTTCGATCCCCGCCTGCCCCAGAGGTGATCCACAGGGTGCAGCAGACCTCTCCTGACCCGCCCGCTGCTCCCCTCAGCAGTGTACTTCGTCGATCTGCCTGTTCTGCTCCCTGCTCTGTCTCTGGTGAATCCTCTCACCACCTCTGCACCTCTGGCCTGTACCCCAGCTCTGTATGCTAAATAAATAAATCTTAAAAAAAAAAGGGGGGGGGGAGAGAATTAGCACATGCATATCTAAGGAACCAGCACATCTCAGCCTGTGCTACTGGCTTACAACAGCATAACAACAAAGATAACCACTAAACCCTAGAGTTCTATCTTCAAGAGTAAAGATAATTCCAGTAGCACCTACTTTAAAGAACCATGGCATGTGTAACCTGGAGTCTACTCTCACTTGATTCGGAGGTTGGGATATCCATACCTGATGTCCCTTCTGAAAAATAAACACAAAAGTGGCCCCAGGCTGGTAACCAAAGATCACTTGGCAGAAATAGAGAGAAATCCTTTCTGGAGAGACAACGCCACAAATCAGCCCCACACTCCATCAAATATATGTAAAAAGTCAAAAAGTAAAGACCCTTGACAGCACCCATTTGAACCCAATGGCCTTATAGGGTACACTGGCTTATGAATGCAAAACAGAAATTAGTGTGGGCTAAACATGGTTAAAAGCCTTCAGAGAGAACATGGATCTTTAATTGAGCATGACGAATGCAGAGATGATTTGGTTAGAGGCCAAAAACAATGAGGTCACTGAGACTGAGAAAATTCCATCCAAGTGGAAAGACGAATGAGCATGGTGTGGACAAGGAACCCCCAAACATGGGATGGACGGAGCCACACAGAATGGAAAGGGCGACGTGCTCACGGGGCTCATGTTGTTGACGTGGTTGTGCTATCAGGTTGCACTTTCTTGTGGAACGTAATACTGGGGAAAGATTAGTACAAACAAAAATGATACCAATAAAAGTCAGCACATCCAGTGACGACGACCGTGTTGCACAGTAACCAAATGCTAATGTCCTAATATCACCCCCTCTTTACAGAGGAGAAACCAAGACTCGGAGAGGGCACAGGCCCCGGGCGATACTTTCTTTACAGGACAGTCATCAAACTGAATACTAGTGTCCGAGGAAAGGGAAGAACTAAAAAATATGAAACATGATTCCAGCAGGGAATTGGGCCATAGTACAAATAAAGGTGATATAAAATAAAAATCTAGAAAAGGGAATTTTATTCTCACAGGCTATGATGGTACTGTGGGCTCCTCTGATTCCAATCTAAAGAACTCAGCCGTTGCTAGTTAACAATGTATTACTTTAAAAGCCAACTAGAAAGAGTAAGATTTACTTTGCTGGAGTATATGTAGTTATAACAGACAGTCAATCTTTTAAATGGCAGGATTAGACCCACAACATGTTACTCAACTGTAGTTTTAAAGACAGACGACATGTTAGTATATCTGGAAAGATTAAAGACAAAAGGAACAAGATGAGAGTATGACATTTTTTAAAAGAAAGGCAGATTTATAAAACCTTTTAAAAATGCAATATTTTATGAAGGAAAAATAAACTTCAGTAGACATGTTCAAACGGTAGATTAGACGTTTAGTGAATTAACATTCTTGTATATTTACAATACACTGGGCACGCTTTTAACAGTTACATCTATATTACTTATTAATTCTCAGAAAGCCCAATGAGAGAGAGGTGCTGCTATTCCAGTCTCCCAGGGAAACAAACAAGTCTGTATCTTTTCCGTCTCCTTGTAAAAATTATGAGCTAAAACAATTTCAAAAGTTGCTATCCAGTAATTAGCTCCCTTCTCACTTCAATATGGACATTTGTAAACCAACCATCATAATGAGAATATGTGTACCTATGAGTCTCAAAGCACTTTTTTTTTAAGACAGTCTCTTTTCCACAAACTTGGAAGATAAGCAAAGTACAGTATTTTTAAGGAAAAATATCCCAAACTTGGAGAGACAGGAGAGGCTCCCTTGTGCCTCATCATCTAAAAAATATACAGTTATCTAGAACACAGGGAGTTTGTCCTTGCTACCAACTATGTGAATCAAGCCCAGACTCTATGAAGTCATGCCGACTATGGACCCGGCCTGGCAACAAAGATAACCTCAAGGTTACACTTGAGCACCCTTTACCATTAACTAGTCTTGTATCTATTTAGCAACATTTCAGCATTCCTTGAACTAATAATCTAAATCTCCCAAACTCTCCTTTGCCAGATTTAATCATTCTAATGAGTTCCTCATTAGTTATGGAGTCAAAGGCTTTGGTATGTTCATGCTACATTTGTATGAGAACACTTTTAGCTTTTTAAAAATTAAAAATAATTTTTAACGTAACTAAGGAAAAAACAAATTTCCAAAAGAAAATAGATAAAACCTTAGGCTGTGTTACTAAAACCTGGTAAGGTTGAACAAGTGGGAACTAACAATCCAGTAATCCCATCCCTGGTTATAGTCCCCAAAGAAAATCTTGCAAATGTGTCCATCTAAGGAGATGTATACAAGGATTTCCAAGGCAGCATTGCCCATTAAAAAAAAAAGAAAAGTGGCCCTCCCTGGTGGCGCAGCAGGTTAAAGCGCAGCCCTACAAAAAAAAGCCACAGCTGCTTCAGTGCTGGTTGAATCCCAGTCCCAGAGGTGATCCACATGGTGCAGCAGATCTCTCCTGTCTCTCCTGATGCTCCCCTCTGCAGTGTACTTCATCCATCTGCCTGTTCTGCTCCCCACTCTGTCTCTGTGAGCCCTCTCACCGCCTCTGCATCTCTGGCCTGTGCCCCAGTTCTGTACTCACAAATAAATAAATCTTATAAAAAATGCAATTGGAAATCGAGATCAAATTCCAGCCATAATGTGCTGGGAAAATGACAAGTACAACAGAGAACTGTGCATCTCTGCAATGTGAGTAACTACAGCTGCGTTCCTTAACTTGGGCGAGCCCTACACAAAAATTGACTGAAAAACAGTTTTGCAAAGAATGAGCGTAACGTGATTTCATTTAAATCTGGAGACACATGTGAAGTGCGTAAAGGAAATCAGCATAACGATTAGCCTACAATTCGCAAAGTTGGCCCCTTTGAGAGAAAGGGGAGTTATGATGGCCGGGGCTCTGTGGAGGGTTTACTGACATGGGTGGTGGTTTCATAAGATCTTGTCTGATTCCCTTTCATAGAACGACAGAAGCCGAATCCCAGGTACCCACTCAGGGTGGCCACATTGCACGATCTGGCTCTTTCTGAACATTCTTCAACTGCACTTGGAACAGTCTGTCTCTACAGCTAGCCCAAAGGCCTACAAAAGAGGTAGGTGGTGCAGCCTCCTTGGAAGTATTATCAGGGGTTGACAGTATCTCAGAGTATCTCAGGGTCCAGAAGACAACAGAGGGCAGGATCTAGTTTCCAAATCATTTGGGAGGAAGCTGCTTCCTCGGTCCACTCCGCAGGGGACCCTGCCATTTAACAGTCTGGTTTGAGGTCACATTTATAAGTTCAATTTCAAAGGTTGACGTTGTCCCGGGTATGCTGCAACCACTGGAACTACTGAGTGTCCACCCAGGTAACACTTCAAGGAGGCTGCACCTTCTGCCTCTTTCATAGGCCTTTTGGGATAGCAATTGAGACACAGTTCCAAGTGGAAGTGAACAGTGTTCAGAAAGAGTCAGGTCATGCCATGTGGAAGTAGCTGGAGCAAGTTGCCCATCAGCCCCATGAAGGATGACCCCATCCTGATGTGGACACAGGACTGGCTCTATTACTTGTAGGGTACAACACAAAATTAAAATGAGGCTCCTTGTTGAAAAAGTAAG